ATTTCATGTTTGATGCTGAAGTGACGGCATCACAACTAGAAGTCCAACCATGAGGCCGTTTTCCTTCCTGACTACAAATCATCACCTCTTCATTCAGTCCCATTAAACACCTGGATGAAACTTTATCATGATCCCTGGAAGAATTCTTGACTTACAGCCAAAAAGGTGGATTGCGAGGTGAGAGCGATCTTGATCTGTGATTGCTGCAGTTTAATGTTCAAGTCCACGGGACCGTTTCTGTAAACTTGAAAGAATTCAAGATGATGAAGAAACACTGACAGACGGACAGAAGACAGAGCGTTTGTGTGACACCAGAGCCTGTTTGCTCTGAAGGATTTTCCTGCCACAGCTGAGACGCTGTGAGTGACAACACGAGTCCATTCTGCAGGACGGAGAGCAAACAGAGGGATGGAGTATTGAAGTGGTGGAACTGAAATCATGGTGTGTGTGGTCCAACGATTCAGCCCCAGGAGTTCTGAATTATTAATGACAAGGGAACAATCCCTCTTGGACGATAATTGTTTGTTATGTCAAAAAGTCAAATATCTCCTGAACCAGTTGAACCTCTGCAGCCTGCATGGAGCTCCCGTTCACTGATTGAATGTGAAGCTGTGGCCAGACTCCTACAGAGGACTGGATGTTTTGCTATAAACTGGCTGTAAGAGCAGCGAGACACACAACAGTCACAGTGAACAACAGGAACCAACAGTTTACTGAAGTTAAATGTACCAACAATCATTAAAACAGGTGTCATGACAGAACAACAACATTTACGATCAACTTTTACAACAGATAATAAACATGTGATCTCAAAAAATCTCAGAAAATCTCAAACAGTGGTGACATTGGAGCATTAGGTGGTAAACATTCATTTTAACATCTTGACTTGAGCCTCAGTGGGACCGTTCAGCAGCATCCAGCAGCTCCTTCATAGCGAACAGACGTCATCGTTGCACTGAAAGAGAAGTGACGGAGGTTAGATGATGAGCTCCTACGATGCATTCAGAGGGTTTATGATCACCATGAGGCACGTGTTCCCATCCAGACAGCAGATATGGTTCATTACCACCTGCACACGTTACTGGATGGAAGTTCTCCGTCTTCTACTGAACCAAAATCAAAAACATTCGCTTCTCGAGATGAAAGGTTTTTGTTAACCAAGACCACAACCTGATGACTATGAGCAGCAGTGGGCTGGAGAGGATCAATATTTACACTCAATAACAGTTTCCAGACGGCGCTCTGAACCGGACAGAAATACTTTTAAAATCCTGCTGATGAAGTCTGACGGTCTAATTAATGCTAAAAACATCCTGAACATTAATCACATTTACACTTTAGGACATTTTTCCTTTTTTTAAACTGAGTATAAACACGTTTCAGAAACCTGCAGCCTTTGTTTTTATGCATTAATCTGATCATGGATGTTTACACAGAAAACATCTGATGTGCTGCAGACAGAGTGTTTAGCATGAAGCTAATGTTCAACTCCCGTCCCAGTAAAACAGACAAAGGACCACCGACACCAGTACCTCTGTTTGGTGTCAGCAGCTCTAACAGAGGAAATACGACGGGTTCTTGTTTGTATTGTTCTGGTTCTGTTCTTCCCAAACCCTCATCTAATCAGTCTGGATTCCCATGACTGGAGTTCCTCATAAACATTTACTCAAGCACAGCCACATAACGTCCACAACGTTAATTATTTATCATCGTTATGATGTTTGGTAAAATTATGGAAATCCACATTAAAGCCACTTTCATATTAATGTTATAAAATAGTGAGTTTTAAAAAGGCCAAACGAAAGAAAAGAAAAGAAAAGATTCAATCTGAATGTTTTTTTGTTGAAGCAGAGCAGTGGAGTCACTCCATGTTTCAGGAGAGACGGCGGTCAGAGCTGCTGGTGGCAGCTGATGGAAAGATGTTTTCACCTCCTTGTGTTTTATTCTAACTCAGAATTTCAGATCCAGGAGGTGAACTGGTCTCCTCCTCCTCCTCCTCCCTGTTCAGGACCTCCTCCTGCAGTGAGAACATGCAGAACCCAGCAGAACCCAGCAGAGCAGATCCTGCAGCTCCACAACGGGCCACGGCTTTAAAACAGGTCACACAGCTTTAAACAGAAACCGCTGCTCAGTCAGAGCAGTCAGAGACATGAAGGCCGCTCGGCGTCACTTGAACAAAGCCCTGAGAAAGCGTCTGATTGTGTTCACACAATGAAATCAGCGGCGCATTCATACGGCTGCTGTTTAAACACGTCTGGATGCGAGATGATCGCTTCAGGAGCCTTTCTGTTGATCAGAGTCAACATCACAGAAAATAGCAGCTCCTGGAGCTTCGATGAATCACGAATCCTAACAATGAAATGAGTTAGTACCGGTACCGGTGCAGTAAAAACAGAACATGGTGCCTTTACAGATTCAGGAGGAGAATGAAGTTAGTGCATGTTTGAAACTCAAACTGCTTTCATGAGCATGGATCAGCAGTCATTCTGATAATTAATTAAATAATGACTAATTGAGACTTTTCTAGAAGAGAATAAAAACAACATCTAGTTGCAGGACCTGAAATGTTTCCTTTGTTTTTTACGGAGGAATATTCAGATCTTCTGACTCTTCTTTGTTTCATATATATTTTTTGGGCTTCTTGCCTTTATTCAGAGCAGTAGAGAGAGAAAAGGGAAGAGACCTGAGAGTCGAACCCACGACGGCTGCATCACGGAGCTACAGCTAACTGTAGCTAACTGTAGCTAACTGTAGCTAACTATAGCTAACTGTAGCTAACTACAGCTAACTGTAGCTAACTGTAGCTAACTACA